ATGTGCAAAGTCCCTTTTGCCAAATGGGGCAATGTACACACAGATTTCAGGGATCAGGACATAAAAATCTTTGGGAGTCATTATTCTGTCTACCACAACTGGCCTTCATGTTTCTTTAACTTGTAAAACTCACTCTCAAGAATTTAGGGCCTATCCTTGATCCCTCTGCTTCCAGATGTTAGCTTATTAACACTGTTAGCGCCTTTCTGTTACTTGGATCTTAACTCTAAGGCCATTTGCTCAGGGCTGCCACTCTATCAAAAATATACCACTCCTGCCTATCATTCACATTCTTTTATGCCTGTTTTATATTTTTGCAGCACTTAATATTACCTGAAATTACCTAAACAGCTCTACTGTAGCTTGTCAATCTTGTTACTGCAATATCTAGTGCCTGTACACAACAGTCATGGCACATAGATTGCCTCTCAATGAGCATTTTGTATTAAATGAGTGACTGAAGGAAACTTAGCCTGTTAAATCTAGGATCACATAAAAAGTGGATCTGTACTCTGACACTGGATTGCCACTAGGCCACCTGCTTGCTAGGCAAAAAATTCTCATGAATGACCAGAGGAAAGAGGAAAATCAGAACATTGTATCTCAGAAGGCAATAATAATGTTCCAAGGACATCTCAACTGTGTAAAATGCTCCTGAAAGGTCAAGTAAGAGCTTTATAAATTAGAAGTCTATGATGGTCATAGCTGATTATTGCTTACAATTATTAGTTAAATGAGGAAGAGGTGGCTGCTAATAAAACTAAAGTGTAAGTAGGTTACAAAGGTCCCCAAATTAGAAAGTATATTTTATATAGCCACTTCAGATGTATTCACTGGTAACTGATAAATTATAAATTACTATCAGTGAATTTTGTTCTTGTCATTACATATGTGAAAATGAATACACTCACACTGTAAGCTAGTTAAGCAATATATAGGTATACAGAGTGAAATAAGAGTCTCCACACCCACCCCCACGACTCTCATGTCCAGAGGAAACTGGTGTAATCCTACCAATCATTTATTCAATGAATTTGAATCTATATATACCTGGGTATACATTCAGATACATTTTTGACATGAATGGAATCATTTTTCTAATCATATTTTTAGTCTCTCAAATTCCTAATAGTTTTTTTTGTAACAGCCTGTTCTTTAAGGTTACAATCCTAGACATACTTTGAAGGATATATTAACTTTCAAAATTTATCTTGATTTGCTATTTTTAATTTTCTTGGGTGTTTCCCTGTGTGAGTTCCAAGCCACCTGGAGTAAATAAGGTTGGGGGAAGGTTTTTCTCACATACCTGGTAATCTTTGGTTGGGTGTTCATCCTCAGCCTAAGATTCTCTGTTAACTTGTCTGCTTTTCCGTTTATTGTTGCTCTAGACTGTTTCTGAAGGTTGTGATGAAGGGGCAGGGTATGGTGGGGACACTGGAGGTTTGTCTTGGGATGTAGGGACCCTGGCCTCTCCTGGGGTTCAGTAGCTGACAGGCTCCCTAGCTCCAGTCCCCACATGCACTGCTTTATTCTGCAGATGCCTTGCGAATGCTGCTTTAGAAAAGACCTGTTGATTGGTGGGGCAGGGGGTGGTGAGGGGCCAGTGGCTTAAATGTTGCAAATATAATTCCTCACAGTGGACTGCACTGGACCACTTGAATCAGAATCACGTGAGGAGTGCATTAAAAATGCAGATTACTCGGACCCACCACAACCCAAATGTAAAATCACAATATCTGTGGGAATGGAGCCCAGAAACTGATCCTGGGATTGGGTCTGTGGGGGAGGTCATAGCATAATATAAGTTTCAATAAGCTCCTCAAGATTCCTCTGCAGATTGGAGTTTGAGAACCACTGTTTTGAAGGTTTGCCAGATCCCACTCCCTTCTCTCTGTTAACGATTCCAAGAGAGGTCCTGCCTGTCACATGCCCACCACATAATTGAAACTGGTTTATTCCTTTGTAGAGTTGACTATGTATTCTCTCTCAGGAATTTCTAAAAGTTTTTCACCTTCTATAGCAATCTCTCTTGTTAGTCTTATTTACTATGTCATCTATCTATATCTATATATATATATATATATGTTATAAAAGTATATTTCCTAACCTACACACACACACACAGACACACTTAAAAGTAATAAAGCTGCATTTCACAGCATCCATATTTTTCATTACTTACAGCATCCATATTATGACACAAATACAATTTGTAGAAAATGTCATCACTTTTCAGGGCATCATTTACATACTACCTCTTTAGCAAACATGACTGGTTACCTTCCAGACATGCACTATAGCTTTCCTCCTAGCCCTCATTATCGTCTTTCTCAGAATAAATCCTGCTTGGTGTGAGCTAAATGTGGTAGTCTTGTCCCCCTGGCCAGTGATTCATTTAGGAGAGGTGTGTAAAGATTCTAGCCAAAGAGATGTAAGGAGGGGGCTGTTTCGTGGCTTCTGGGAAATTTTATCTCACTTCTAAAGAGACACCAGAAGAACAGGCACTTCCTGCCTCTGGGATGGTTACATACAGATGTAGTACCTGGAACTGCAGCCACCTCAAGATCACAAGGGACTTAGCCTTGGGGTGAAGCCAGTGCTGAGGGCAGCAGAATGGAGACAGAAGGAACATCAAGATCCTTGGTAACGTTATTGACTTGCTGGATTGACTAAACCTGAAACCACTCAACTTCTGTTACTTATAGCTTAAAACATCCTAACTGATAAAATGTCTACTCTCAAATACATAGCAAATTTCTTATAAATCTTGGAAAATATTTTCTTAAAAATATTGGGAAAAAAAGAACCTCAAGTTCATCCATTTAAAAATTGCCTCTTTCCCTTAAGTAAAAACCCACAAAATTTATATCTAGACATTTAAAAATCTTTAAACAAAACAATTATCTTAAGTTGGATAGGCAAAACTCATTTCTACCCCCAACCCCAACAAGGATGAGGATTAAAAATTTAAAGAAACTTGGTTTCATAGCACCTTCCAATTTCTGGAAGTTCAAAAAGGTTTGGGTATGTATAATAAATCTCTAATTTACTAAGAAATTGTATGTCAAAAATTTTTTCAGTGAGTTATTTTGACTTCAAAATGGCCCACTTAAGAATCTGGTTTTAACCTATAATAAAATAGTAGGTGTATACTACTGGGGACCTCCTGAGCTCTGAATACCCTGAATAATCCCACTCAGGCTCTGACCATAAATGCCTACCCTACTTAACTTCATGTTAGCAGTGAAGGAAGGTAGACGGAGTAGAGATGGAAGAGACAGGTACAGGTAGCACAGAGAAAGGCCTCAAGCAGTGGGAACCATTTAAGTGGCTCTTTCTTTCATAACTCAAATTTTGTAAAAGTGGATACTCTGTCCATTTTCTAATTTTAAGAAGTTCTCATACAGGTAGGAAGCACCAATTTTATAAACTGAAACAACAGCATCAGCATTTCTGCAACTGTAGAGTGATTTTCCCCAGGTAATTCATTTGATGGACTTCAGTGAGGTGGTATATTTCTCCCTCGAACTCCAATCTACTCTGACTCTTACCATTTCTCAGCACTCATAAATTATGTTAAAAATATAATCAACAAAAAATACCACAAAGCATGTGTTAATATGAAATGAGCAGGCTCCTGGTATGAGAATTCTGTGCAAATTTATTCAGTAATACTCAATTTACATCACACCCAATGAGCTTTACTCCTTTTCCTCAGTATGTTTATTTCTGTGGTTAGCATCTCTCCTAATATGCCAGGACTCCACTCTATATGCTGAGTCTTAGCATGTCTACAAACTCCCTTTTAGCTTAGCTGGGTACCAGCCCTACCTCCCTATGCTTGGGCTGTGTCCTCTTCACTTCTTGAGCTCCATGAAGCCAAAGTCACACAGTAACTGTGCCCTGCCCAGGCGGCCCTCCACATGAGATATCCATGTGGCCAAAGACCTCCCTGATGTAACTAGAGGGTGGAGCCTAATGCTTATTTTCTGGCAATCCCCATCTTGCTTTTCTTTTTCATGTTTCTTCTCATCAAGAAAGCTGCTTGCTGGGCCTATGAGTCATCCTAGGACCCCTTGTCCACTCATTCCTTCAACCCCAACCATCATACACAGTTGAACTATTATTTACTGTACTATGGACCACAGTGTTATAAAGAATTAACATTTGGTTTTTCTTGGCTTTCAAAAATAATTTATTTTGCTACAAATCAAAGCATACATTAATTTGACAGAATATTTTTGGAATTTGTTCTTTCTTGTGTAGTTAAAAATTTTGTTGAACATATTGTTCTTAGGAGTAGTCCATGGTCAACACAACATTTGGTTGCTAAGCATTCTAAATATTTATATTTCTTATGTGGTTCATCCTTCTAAAATATAGGAACTGAAAATCAAAGCTACCGGATTATATACCACAAAGGAAAAGAATTTACTTTTCAAAGATTACACAAATTCTATTTTAGTATTATAAGTACAGATGTACTATATTTATACTACAATTTTTGAAATTTCTGAAATAAAATCATTCTTAAAATAGTGTTCTGGATATTTTACAAGGGCATTTTCTTATCATTTGTTTTTCAATATCTTCTTTCTCATTTATATGAAGAATAAATACTCAAGCATTTCAAAGATACTCAACTGTCCTTTTGAACCTAAAATTGACAATTTTAAGAAATAACTTCAATATTATTTCTTCTGGACAGATAATAAAGAGCCGATAAGAGAACAAGTTCAGAGAATATGAAATTACTATATTTCAACAACCAGGGAAAATTCTGGTCTCTGAATAGGTTAAGTTTCTTACTGAGATAAAGAAACATTTCTTACTGAGATAAAGAAAAATTTTAAAAATTTCACATATTTAAAAATTTTTACAGGTCCTTCAATATACAATCTAGGCCAGAAAAATAGCTGAGAAAAACAGCAGTAGAGTCACAGAGAACACGTCGGGGTCTTTCTAAACTCTTACGGGTTGTTTAATATTCACCATCTTACATGAGCTTTTCTTTGTAGTTGTCCATCTCAGTCACTGCCTTCTGAAGTTTTAGCCCAAGTGCTTCTACTTGACACTGTAAATCTGGAATGACATAATGTATTCATCTGATTAGTACATTTTAGGTGTCCAGATATTTTCATAGAGTAAACAGAATTCTTTTAGAGCTGCCACTCAGCTCCTGGAGAATAATACAGCTGTTTATTCCACTTTGCTTGGATGACCATATGCAACTCATCCTTACTCTGAAACTCCACAGAATTAACAGGTTTTGACAGACTCAATTTATTGGCCTCTTTCTGCCCCCAACATCATGCTAATTTTCAAACAGCTAATGGGTTAAATTTTACTAATTTTTTTGAAGGAAATTTATGTTGCTGGCACACACATGGATTTTTTGATCACGTGGCTCACTTCTGAAACACTTGACTGCCTGAGCTGGTTCTTGTGGCCTGGAACTGAGAAGTACTGCTGAGGCTTCTGGTATAGAACTGAAATAGACAGACCATGTGCAAGGCTTCTGTTACGGAATCTGCTAACTCTGGGTAGTACCTAACAGGCATTTTAATGACTTTCAAAGCCAAGAAAATATAAGCAGGAAATTGGCTTCCTAGAGTCTTGAACTGGGGAATTCAAGTAGTGTTTGAGGAAGACTATTCAAGTAGCCATGTCTAATGTGTGTGGAGGCAGAACTGAAACTAGAGCAAAAAGAACAAATTGCTTGAACGACCCGAGTCCCATCACTAGTCTGTCTGTGTGGACTAGCATCCAAACCCCAGCCCCAGTAACAGCCCTGTTGGTACTCTTTTTGGGAATAAGGTGGAAAACAAACTGACACAGGTGGACTAACTGATTTCTATGAAAAAAACAATTTAAAACACTGCAATTTAAAAAATTTCCATGCTACATCTGTTCAGCTGTTTTAATAACATTTTAACAGGAAACTTCAAAATCTTTATGCATCTGTATGAACATATAGACTTTTTATATGTATCTTCTATCTGTCCTCTTAACTTTTCTCCTTTGTTTTATGATGATGAGGCAGTTCCTTAAATCAGAAAATAAATTCCCTCTAAGCAAATGTTTTAACTAGACTTTACTAAATATTGGTATAAATATAGCACATCCACATATACTATTTAATGTTGTCCCTCAAACTGCCATGTAAGTGTGAATAGCCCTGTTTTTCAGATGAGTAAAAATGAGATATTCTCTGATTCTCTTGCCTAATATCTTACAGTTAGTAAATGCATTAGTCAGCAGCCAAGCTGACAAGATTTTAAACTCTGGTGAGGGGATCAAACTGAGAAAATGACCCCTTAAATAAATATGTAATTCAATATAGACTTACCTTATAGGTAATATATGTGCAGTATATCTTTTCCACTTATCAAGTGATATCATTATATGAGAGAAAAGACAAAATGACATACACACGGAGAATTTAGTTTTGAGTGTAACCTTCTGACACAAGACAGGCTCTAATGAATGTGTTGCTTTGTTATTAAGTACATGTGGGCTTGCAGGCAGTTCTAATCACACAGGCACAGCTAAAACATTTCTACCTATTCTCTGATGAATAAGGAGGGAAAGAAGTTGTTTGTTGATGGTGTACTATTCCAGAAACTGCAGAGTGCTTTCTCCTATATTGTTTAATTTATAGTCACAGCTATCATGAAAAACAGGTATATATTTTATTTTTACCAGATGGCTCTAAGGATTAGAGTAATTAACTAACTTGTCAAAGATCACAAAGCTAGTTAAAAGTGATCTCGCGATTCAAACTCAAGCTGGCCTTACCCCAAAGTCTTCACCTTTCTAACTTTCTTACACTGACTGTTAAAATATGAAAGCTACAAGGAGATATGATATTTGTCCATGGAAGTGTGGTTAGTGCAGCTATATATGTGACTAGCATATCCCAGAATCTTTAAAGATGTATATTTACAACAAATGAAAAGTATTATTTACTACTACATAAAATATGTAGTAAATTAGTGTAATGTCTAACTCCAAGAGATGGTTTAGATTTTAATTTTTGAAAATTTTAAAATTAATATATTATAATTAATGAAAGATATTAAGACAAGTATGGGTATCACTGTGACTGACTTTATAACACGGACATCAGAGAGAACAATTATGCCTTCCTATTAAATATCCCTTGGTGCTTTCGTCAGGATATAATCTTAAACTAGACAAAGCATAGATCTGAGCCCATGTGATAAAGTCTATGTAATAACTTCTAAATACAGCTATTGTTAAGAGGAAAAACTGATTATCTTAAAAAAAAACTCCAAAAATTGGTAATTGACATGTGAATTTTATGCAATTAATTCTCAATTACCTGATCATTGGTAGAACAGTATACAGTAAAATGGCAGCTAATTCAAACCCATTTTTACAGCATTGTGAAGTAGTCTTAGGATCATATCTGAATATACTTGTGCATCACAGTCACAGGACTTATTAGATTTAAAGGAAAATAAACTACACAATTATGATCCAACTCAAGAAAGGAAAAGCTATTATACTTTCGGTATTATTCTCCCTACCTACCCACCTAAACTTCCCTTCACCCTATTTGAAGATAAACATGGATACTATAGTCTTTAAATCACAGCATCCAATGAGTAGGGAAGCCACTTCCTTCAGATTATTCACTATGTATTTACAGCATCTCTGAGTAAAAATAGGGAAAGCAAATAAATGTTTTACTTTAAAACACAGAAACCCCTAGAGGCTGTCATGTGAAGTAAACAGAAACAGAAAATATAAGTAATGTCAACAAATAAATCATTTTACTTAAGGAGAGAAGATACCACATAGAATCGAGAAAAAAAGATTCATTGTGAATAAACCATAATGTAAACAGTCCACCATTGTATAATTAGGAGTTGGCTAATATATTTTCATAGCTTTTTAAAAACTTTTAGTTGTATTTTCTCTAATCAAGAAGTGCTAAGAATTATTTTGAATATATACAGGACATATCTTTGCTGTTCTGAATGAGGCATAAGCATCCTATTGGTTTACTATTGGTTCTGAAGGACAAGTAGGGTCCTTTTGTTTCTTGAAGCGGAGTGGCCAGTTCCTGTCCTTAATAAATAAAGGCACATAGTTAGGATAAGCAGCAGAGAGATTAAGCCACCTGCACAAGACAGCTCCTTCAGTTCCTGAGGCAAGGAGTTCTTAAATAAGTATATTGTTCTGTGCAGTCCTTCTCTATAGTTAAATAAATTCAACTTCAATTTTCTGTCATTCAGCATGACATTGGATTATGAGGCAAAAGGCCCTGAATGCCTACAAAAAGAAAGGAAGCATTGGCTTTAAACACCATGCAGATGTAAGGCGGAACCCGTGGAAACAATCCAGAATTTACAACAGCAAATTCTACTATAATGTGACTGCATTCTTTGCAGATATTAAATAAGAAGAAATGATTTTAAATGAACAAGACAAAAAGGAGCTCTTAGCTTCTCTTCATATGAAGCCAGCTGCTTGCTGGATAGCATTACGCAGGCATCAAATTTGGGGTAATTAGTCATTTAAGAAAATGCTGTTATTTCAAAAGGTTTCTAGAAAATACAAATACAAAAGGTATTCATAGTGAGCTATTTTATAGCAGGATATAAAACTTTACAGTCACTCGGAGGGTACATTAAGTTAGTATAATGTTTAAGAAAACAATAAGTGAAACTTTTATAGTGCAAAGATATTTCAAGCTTCAAACTTCTGGATAAAGAAAACACCAGAAAAAAATTTTAAATCTGATTTAAAGTGCAATATGAAGGAAAATGATTCCAAGTTCAAGCAGCAGAACAGAGGAACAAGCAGGCAGGAGAAATGGCACCCAAAGATCCAGATTTAGGAGAATATTTTATATATATATATTATATATATATATAAATATATATATATTTAAATGGTAGAAATAATTGAAGAAAAGAAAAAACAAAAGCTAATCATTCTTTTAATATACTCCTAAGACAGGATAACACAGAGGTGGAATGCATGAACTCTAAAGCCGGACTGTCTAATTTCAAATCCTGGCTCTGCTTCCTACTAGCTAAATGACTTTAGGCATTTTAGTTTCCTTACCTACAAAATGGTTACTACAGCATAGGATTGTTCTAGAAATTAAATGACAATGTATGTAAAGACAAGAACAGCACCAGGCACATAGTGAGCAATACATAACCATTGGCTTCACCACTGGTGGTGGTAGTTAGGCCACTCTACTCCCTCCGCCGTGACTTCTGCCCTGAATCTTATCACTTCTCAGCTAAGACCTTGTTCTTGCAGGTGGGCCTGGTGCTATCAGTGGTTATTTTTGTATGGAGAAGAGTAAAAATGAAGGTTTTTAACTGTGTGTTTTTTAAAAAAATAATCTATAGAAAAACTATGGCAAGATGTTAAAACTTATAAAATATGGGTGATGGATTCACATACATTTGTTGTATTATCTTCTGTATTTTTCAGTGTTTGATATACTTTATAGATATATTGTTTAGGGAGGGGTCTTGCTTGCACAGATCAAGGATAGCATGTTCTATACTAAGGAGTCTAAGCAACTCAGTTCTCTGTGCCCAAGGTGCAAAAGAACACAAGGGGAGTAGAACTTGGTGGGGGTAGGGGGTGACGTTGAAACTGTAAAAATAAGCTATTTGATCTTGTGACTATGGAGAAGAGAAATTCAATTGCAGTGGGAGGGGGATATGGTAACAAGGAGGATTGTTGATTTTGTTTTTGCTTTAAGATATTGGGACATATTTATTTATATCTGATTAGAGGGTATCCACATTTGTCATTTAATGTATACCTTCTAACTTGTACTTATGTGTGAAAAAACAGTACTTTTTGCAGATGTTTTTAAAAACTACATAAATGGTATGAAGTTATACATCTCATTTTAATTCTTACTTTTTTTACTACATTGTTTTTGAGACTTACCCATGTAGGAGTATATAGATGTGATTCATTCCTTTCTGATTGATATATAATATTTAATTATATGCACATATCAGATTTCCCTGATCTAGTCCAATAGTGATAAAATGTAGGTTGCTTACAACTTAGTGTCA